CATGTATGCGTAAATATTGCCAATAACCATCGAAAGTACAAAAAACCTTTTTGGCATACAGTCAACTCCCTTTATAGGGGAAAATGTAGGGGGCTTGAGTTAGTGTCCTCATTAGTGAGATTCTGTAGCAGTGGGAGTTAATTATAGTCAAACTTCTGTAATTTATTTTTGCTTGGGATTAAGCTACTGTCCGTATCATCGGGGTCTCAGTTTTGAGTTACAGCTCGGTGTCCACAAGGCAAGAGTTCACTGTATTTCCAAAAGTAGGTTCATCAAACATGCAGGTTTTACTGTAAGTTAAATAGAGTAAGCAGACTTTTAACAAAACAATATTACTACAATGAAATTATTCCAAGCACTTACTTTTTTGCCTGACAAAATGGCTCTTTCAGCTTTTGGAGTAATAACCCATTCAACACAAGCCCTTAGCCCAACATCAATTTAAGAGCATGTATATTTGTTAGGCCTCGTCACATAGTAGACCCTTGTCCACACAGGTTGATTACAGCAACGGCCTGTTCATTTTTTATGCATGGCCACACAGGCCCTCACCCACACAGGCTGATTACAGCATAACAACACTTTTATTTGTTATCCATGGCCACAAAGGCCCTCAGCCACACAGGCTGATTACAGCATAACAACACTTTTTATTTGTTATCCATGGCCACAAAGGCCCTCAGCCACACAGGCTGATTATACAGCATAACGGCACTTTTATTTGTTATGCATGGCCACAAAAGCCCTCAGCCACACAGGCTGATTACAGCATAACTGCACTGTTAATTATTGGCCATGCTTGGATATCATTCATTACAACATAGGCATTAGGGCAAACGTCTTGAAGATAAATTATGATTCCAAACAAGACACCACCATGCTAAGGCCTTCATCTCTGAAACAATTATTACATTTGTCGACAGCAGACCACATGTTTCAATGACGATCTTGAGACTGAGCCCACTCTACGAGTCTGAGAAATGTTTCCTCCCTATATGCTGGGGCTAACACCCTTCTCTGTCGACACTGAGTTGCTAAGACATGCAGTCTCTCAATCTCCACTGCTCTAGCTCTTGTAGTTGGAGTGTCCACAGGTCTGAATCTGTCATTGTTTATCAGAACATCTTCATGAAAAGCAAAATCAGGATCTCTTCCTTCCCCCACCTGCCGATTTTGCTCTTGACAATGCCACAAATAGAGCTCCTGGGTTTCTGGCTTCAAAGCCATGGTCCCCAGGGTGAACCACTACATACCTGAATGCTTCTCCGGTGCCCACAGTCATCCCTTGGCATTTGTGGATTGTTGTTCCCCATGCCAGTCGCAATGGAACCTGCAGACGCTTGCATCGACATGCGCATTCAGTGGAACGACTTACCGGTACAATTGGCACAACTGTCAGATCTTCATTAATGTATGGTGGCCCCTGTATCCTGGAAACCTCACCAGAACCACATCAGGTAGAGGAGCAGGATCATCAGTAGGTCTCGCCATCTTTGTACACAATATCTACGACTGTGCCTACTGCCCCATTGTACAAACCCCAATCAGCCTTTAAGTTAACCACCAGCATAACTTTGCTGTCACGGCAAAGATACAGTAGAGGTAACAATCCTCCCGCCTTATTACTGTCGGCCTTCACTGCATGTCTGCCATTGTCAACTGCCTTGATCTTTGCTACTGGGTGGTTTGGCTGTCTGTTACACTCAAGCAGCTTTGTTTTATTACGCTGCCATTCAAGACGGTGAGTGGGAAATACATACAGTCCTTGCTCATCCATCCTAGCAAGGAGTTCTGGGCCATGCGACATGCGGAGATTGTGCCATTGAAACTGTTGTAGCCAATGGATTTGCTGGGGTGTTGTCGATAATTTCTTAGTGACATCAGCACGCCTCTCAGCTGTTGTTCAGATTCATTCTGCCGTATAATCTGAGTAAGCTCAACAGCACTATCAAACATTGTCCAAACCAAGCGACCGTGGTTAGATGGTGCACTCGACAATCTGAGATGTACACGGGGTGTCACACACAGGAGGAAGCTGAACATCATCTCCCATAAACACTGCCACAGGAATCCCTCCCCATAACTCATCTGCATTGGCTCCTTTGTTCATTGCATAACGTGCATGCTGTTCCATCCAGCCCATTGTTGTACGTCCAAACATTGATCGCTCATCACCAACCAGAACTTTCAGATTTTCGCACTTTTTCTGAATTTTCTCTAGTAAGGGACCTGTAGGTACAGTCAACTCATTGCCAGACCTTCCACCTGTTGGTACTCCAAGAAAACTGTGAGCTGTACTGCCGTGAACAAGATAGGCAGCATTCCCGTTGGAGTTATCACCTGTATTGCATCATTGGCTTCAAAAACTTGCCGCACTAACCTCTGGAGACACTTGATGACATACGACTTTCCTGTACCAGCAGTTCCAGAGACAACAAGCCGCAGTGGATGGTAATATTCAGTGTTTTCAACAAAGTTGTACAGGGCAAGCAAAACTAGACTCACTATGGCTTTCTGATTTTCATTTAGAGATAATGGACACACCTGAGGTAAATCAAGGTCTGCACTTTCTGTCTGCTGTTCATCATCTGCTTTAATACTTTCTTGAAGCCATTTTGTTGGGTCTTGTCCTTCAGGAAGAATGATACGGGTTCTGCTCCAGTCATAGTCATCCCCACCATCATCATAATCAAAGTCCCTCTCTACACCCTCATATATTTGGTTCTGCCCCGCATATACATCCACCCAGTCTGGTTGTTCTTCTGCTTCGACAGCATCATCTTCCTCATCCTCTTCAAATACTGGTTCTTGTGGGTGGTCTGCATAACGCCGTGCCTTAGCAACTTGGCCTTCACAAATGTTGGACAGTCATCACTTGCAAAAAAGTCCTTAAAGCGATCAATCCAAGATTGAGCATCCCCTTCACTTCTTGGATGTCAAACCAGCTTGGCCAGTGTAGCAGGAGCATAGTCCTACAGTAGTCCTCATTCAGTGGCCATGTTGCGTGTGTAGAACCACCACTTACAACAGGGACATTACTGTTCCTCGATGCAAAGTGGTACCAAGAACAGTGCTCATCTCGTGGTCGTGCAAGGTACTTATCCAGTGGGTGCTGCGAGTTGCAGTTTCACCATCACGTTCAAGTCTCCTTGACCCCGACATTGACAAATAGGTAAATGGACGGCTACATCGCCAAAGTGCTAGGCCACTCAGCTCAAAGGATGCCTCCGGTCCACTGATATCTCGTCTTCCCACGGTCTTTATCAGCATCTTAGCACACATTGACTTACCTGTCACTTGGTCTGCATCAGCTGCATCAACAGCATTTACCATGTCCTTAAAGAGATCAGAAGTTGCACCAGTGGGTTCGCTATCTTTGCAAGCATAACCACACACATAGTCGATTATGGCTATGATATCATCAGTGCTAGGATTGTCTGGAGGGAATTGGAAAGAATCAAGCTTACATCCCCATTTGCTCTCCACGATTGTAACTGATAACGAGAATGCTGAACCACACGTGGATGGTCACGAGGCATCTCCAGGCGGGAGCTCCGTTATGATCTTCCACAATTTCCGGATTACTGTGCACTTTTTCCCTGGGTGGAACTCGCTTCAAACTCCATCCGACAAACACGTTCTCTCGGCTGCAGTCCTTGCTCCGGATGGCGAGGGAGTTCTCAAGCAGTAATCAGAGCAACTGTGGAGTCCAACCCTGTTTACTAAAAAAAGCAAATGATCCTCCAGTATTGCATCTTGTGTTGCTGCGATCTGCATTAGCATCTTCACTAAGGGATCCCTGTCATCTGATATGGGCTCAGCCGTTCCCTCAGGTGGTGGCCAGAGGTCTTTTCTTGGCTGCCCTTCTTCGTCATTGCCAGCTGGATGTAATGCTGTCATGGCAAAGGTTTCATCTGCCCACTGACTAAGTCTAGCTGCATACTCTTCCTCTTCACAACCATCTTCACGAGCTTCATGCAATAGCTGATGTGGTTGCCTGTCTTCCCTCCAGCTGAGTTGGTGCCAATGAATTTGACCACGGGACTTGGCAAACTCATAGCGGTACCAATAATCAGAGACACACCAAATACCGGCTTCAGTATCTTCTCATGGTAAGCCTGGGTACGCAGGTCAAAGTAACTCACCACTACATGAGTATTTTCTTGTACTGCCTTGAAGCGGGCATTGCTATCTTCAGCAAGGTTGACTTCTTCGCCTTTCGTCTGCAAGATGTACTCTTCCAGTAGCCTTCTAAGAGGAGGAAAGTAAAACTCGGCACAGCTTCCAGTCATGAAAAATGAAGGCAACCCACGCTTCTCATTGACCATGAACTCCACAAGGGCACGAAGCTCTCTGCGTCTCTGGTGCCAGTACTGAGCTGTACCACGCAGATTTGCGCCAAAATACAACAACTTGTCGGTAAAAGTGTCACCTCTCTTAAGTCGCTCTTGCAGGTCTGCAACAGTTATGTGTGGGTCACCAAGTTGCTGATCAACAAAGAACCGACTCTGCTCCAGGGCACGCTTCCTCATGATCATATTGTGGACAACAAACTTCCACACCTTATGCCTCGCAAACCTTCCGTCTTGGTACCACAGCAGGTGCTCTGCCCAGTTATGCAGTGAAGGAGATGTCACTGGCGGTTTATGTGGAAATCGCCCTTTCCATGGGGAAACAAGCAAGGAAATGCCATCGTAAAAAGTAGGGAGTGGTAAACTCTGATGCTGGTGTTGTACCCGTGGTCGCGACCAAGGGATCACTGGTCGTTGCACATTTCCTTGTGCTTCTTCAACTTCACCTTCCCGAGATTCAGAAACAACTTCATTTATGGCTGCTTCTACTTGTGCTTGCACATTCACTCCAGGCTCAGGAAGAATAATTCCAGAGACTGTTGAGTCATCAGTGCTGTCTGTTTCCCCAACATCCAATTGTTGTGGTGCAGGGCCTTGGTCATCAATGCGTTCTGTTTCAGAGAACTCAACAGTCCTCAAATTCGCAACTCACCATCTTCTGGTAAATTCTCTGTCTGCGGCGCCATCAATAACAACATCACCATAAGCAGGATTGTTGTCCTTGAGCCAACGAAGGGCTCCTTCAACACGGTGTCTTCTAACCCTGAAGTCCTTATGGGTATCATCTTTTCCTTGTCTTCTCACGCGTATGATATCCACCTCTGCTGGTAGGCGTGGAAGAATAGTGGCTGGTTCTTGCACAGCCTGTGGGAAAGCAATGCAATGTCCCTTTGAGGCAATACCTCCATGCTTCAGTAGGTGTACATGCACAGTAAGTGCTAGCCTGGCTATCAGCATCTGTTCAGCATCTGACATGTTAGACAAAATCTCAGGAACAGCCATTGGATCCATGTTATTCTCACCAGACCAAACTTTTGGCACCTTCTTATCTCTTCTGCAGCGAGTACACATGTTTCTGGTGCCCTTGCACTCCAATCGCCTTTCCTTGCAGACCTCACAAAAAAAGAATGCATAAGTCATCTGCTCCACCTCAAATGCACGAATAGCACTGTACGCATTATCTTCTTGCTGACTTGACCCTGCAGGTGGAGGAGGTGGTAGATCTCCAACAGCTTCACGCAACCTTTTCTCTTGTTCTGATATTCTTCTTTGGTTTCGCCGCTGTCTTTTTCTCATGTCATCCTCCGTTTCCACTTCACCAGGCTTTGCAAACTCATAGTCCACACCAACTGCCCTTGCTCTAGCAATAAGGCGGTCATCTTCTAGGTGGCTACTATTATTTACTTCTGGAAGAGGTTGCTGTGTTTCCTGCACGTTGCTTGCTTCCTCGATTGGGGCATTTTCTAGTACAAGGGTGTCCCTTTCCATCTCTTCTCCTAGTAAATGAATTATCTTTATTTACCAACTACACAATATAAGCTTAGTGGCACTAGTGGACTCTATTTTTAGCATGCCTGAGGGATAAGTGAAGTTGTTTGGGGTATTCAATTACAGAAGAAGAATTAATAGAATTGTGACTCTTGGGCTATGCAGGCTACAGCCTGCCTACCTAATGGTGCTTGTGTTACTGATTTCAGAACCTGATTTCAAAAAGGAAATACACAGTATTTTTCCAAACCTTAGATAAAAGAACAAGGCTTGAAAATCGTTTTCTAAGTGGTGATAACTACTGACTGAGATTTCATAAATCAGTCATCAGTCTTTTGATGTAATGTATAGATCTTGACTATCACATGCTTTACTAACATTATCTCATTTTATAAAGAAAACTGCTACAAATTGTACTTGTAGAAAGGACCTTCATGCTGTGCTACAACTATTTTGAACCTATTCTCACCTTGGAGCTATCCTTAAGTGGTTGTACTTTTGTCCGCATGTCCGCTCCCTTATTTGCAAGGATCTTATACAGGCATTTGTTTTCATGATTCACTACAAATATTGTTATCATTTGTTTCCCCTTTTCTTCTTCATTTATATTCCACAAAATACTTAACCCCATTCACACCAAAGCTTAAACAAAGTTAAAATTGTTTGCTTTATAATAGCTGCTTTTTCAATACTGACTAAGTTTCTTGCAAATTACCAGAATGGTTGAAGGTCATTATTTTGAATCCTGTGTGAGAATCTGAGGTCCAATTTTCTGTGTCTGTTTTTCATTTTAATACATGTTTAGTTGGTGTGAATGGGTAGCGTGTGAATGGGGCATGAGTGTTTGCATAAGTAGTCACTCGCCTTTGAGTTCAATTTCCATTTTTCAAAAAATATCAAAACTGAATGAGCCTTAAATTAAAGGGCAAATGCAATTTGAGCTTTTTGAAAAACACATGAGTGCAAATAAATTCCACATTGAGTGAGAAAAGTCATATGATTACTTTTTAATAATACACATGAAATAATTTACATGTACTTTCCTGCCTTTGTATGCTTTAATTTTGCAACATACTTAGTTGTTTCGCTTTTATTTTAGCATCTCAAAATCAAGGAACTGAATTGTTTGTCCTTAGTTATGGACAGGTGTATCCTTAACTCTTTCAATGCGTGTCCATAGCTGTCATAATAATTAATTTTCAGACCATTTTGGGCACACAGTTGCCCACTTGTTTGTTTATATTACTCATGAGTCTTGATGTAGAAGGACTCCACTAAGCAGTTTGTTGGGTTTGGCATCCTAGAAACTCTCAATTTTCTCTGAAAATCCTTTCTCTTTGTACAATAGCTTCAAACATCAAATCAATATATAGTCCTGTTTACAACGTTTATATTTGATTTTTGTTTTCAATTGTTCAATAGTACTTTGTCATAACAGAACTAAATTTTGCTTTGTATGCCAGCTATTTTTCCACTCGTCAAGTTACCTACCTGGCTTCCCACGGGGTGACCAGCAGATTGTGGTACCTGATTGGTTCTGATATATTTCTATTGTTTATTAGCTAATCACATTAATTTTTTTCATTCTCTGAGAAAATATTTTTTTATTCTTATTTGCATAATTTTTCCTCATTTTTGCACTGTGTTTACTAAAATTTGCACTGCTCTAAGACAATCACTTTCAACAAATTGTTCCATGTATATTATTATCTTTCATAATAAATATCATCTTCTGTAATCAATAATTATTATATCAGTACCTGCTGAATGACCTTGCTCTTGTTCACCTGGCAGAGAGCTTTCCATGCTACATTCAAGTTGGAGGACTTCACTTTCACGTTCTTCTATGGCTAAGAAGATAAGATATAATCTTAATAAATTGGGCAAGCAGATTGTGACACCTGAGGCTGATTGGTTCTTATACATTTCTATTGTTCAGTGTTATCCAGAAGTTTTAGAGTAGCCAGCTTCCAAAGCAAAAGAAACTGGTGCCTGACACCAAGCACTGATAAAGCGAGAGTACTGTATCTAAGGGAGGGGTTTGGGGACATTAAGCCCAGAGATCTGAGAAGTTTAACTCGGGATTTATAAGCTTTTCCAGAGTTCTCCCAAGAACCAAGTGAGTTATCATGCTGGTAAATCCATAGAAAATGTGGTCTTTTACTTTTATAAAATAACTTTAAAGCATGTTTCAGTTTACTATGAGATTACCAGCACAATAAACTATTGGTTTTAACCAATCAGAATGCATGTACTGTCTTAGATATTTTACAATTAAAAATATTATCTGGCAATGTCTCATCAAAAATCATTCAGTAAATATATCGATAACACCATTAGCAAAAGAGCTTTTTGTACGACAAGTTATTGTTTTTGTTTCTTTTAGGACCTTCTGAAAAATTCAAGATAAAAGGTACAGACAGTTTTTTTTACTGTTTTGAGTCATAAGAGTAGGCAGCAAAACCACCAGTCGCCTGCGCTTCTGGAGAACACTGATTGTTCACAGGTTTTCATTCTCTGAGAAATTTGCACTTTATTTCCTTATTTTTGCATTATGTTTCCTTGTTTTTTTACTGTGTTTACTAAAAACTGCACTGCTCTAAGCCAATCTCATTCAAGAAATTTTTCCATGTATATTATTAAGTTTTATAATAAATACCATCTACCATGAACTATATCAGTACCTGCTGATTGACTTTGCTCTTGTTCACCAAGCAGAGAGCATTCCATGCTACATTCAACCTGGAGGACCTGACTTTCATGTTCTTCCATGGCTACGAAGATAAGCAAGCAGATTGTGACACCTGAGGCTCATTGGTTCTTATATATTTCTATTGTTCAGTGTTCTCCAGAAGTTTTAGAGTAGCCAGCTCGAAAGCTACTCGGCAAAAGATTATGGTGATAACAATACATAAAAGTAGTGACAGAAAATGAATTAATACTAAATATGTCAAGGACTTTAAGCTGGCTAAACAAAGGGGCGGTATTTGCTAGATAGTGAGCTTTTGTTATGAGCCGCACTAGACGCTTTTGCAAAAGGTAAATACAGTTTAGGCTGGAACAGTAGGTGGAGGACCAGGCGACATTACAGTATGTTAAGAAAGGATATACAAAAGGTGACAATGATTTTGAAAACATTTTAAAATGACATCGCAGAAAACCTTTTTTGCAGTTGTTGTGTTACAATTTGACGATAGTTGTTACGCAGATGCGAAAAAACATCCCTTAGCCTCGTTTTCAACTCGCAATTCCACACTGAATACCTCTCTTCGTTAACCAATCAGAATGCGTGATTTTACTCAATTATGCAATTCTATAATAAATACCATCTACCAAGAACTATATCAGTACCTGCTGAGTGACTTTGCTCTTGTTCACCAAGCAGAGAGCATTCCATGCTACATTCAACCTGGAGGACCTGACTTTCATGTTCTTCCAT